TACTACAGCCAATGTTTTAAAGCCTATTTTGTCTGATATGAGTATTGCTACCCCAGCTTTTCTTTCCTTAATATTTGCATGAAATATCTCTTTCCATTCCTTTACTTTTATTGTGTATATATCTTTTATTCTAAGGTGGATCTCTTGCAGATGGCATATACATGGATCCTGTTTTCATATCCATTCAGCTACCCTATGTTTTTGATTAGCAGGGGTGTCCAACCTGCAGCCCACAGGCTGCATGCATTCCAGGATGGCTGTGAATGCAACCCAACACAAAATCGTAAATTTATTTAAAACATTATGAAATTTTTTTGTGATTACATGTCGCAATGTATTTAATGTGTGGCTCAAGACAACTCTTTTTCTTCCTGTGTGATGCAGAGATGCCAAAAGTTTGGACACCCCTGGTACAGCATTTAAATTGATTATTCATAGGTATTTTTTGCCATTTTATCCCTTTAACTATATTCCTGTTTCTTCTTTTTCTTCTTCTTCTTCCCTTCTTATTCCTCTTCTCCTTTCTTCATCTTTTTTTTTTCCAGGCGTACACTTTAACATTTCTTGTAATACTAGTTGGGTGGTAACAAATTTCTTTAGCATTTTCTTGCCTGGGAAGCTCTTTATTTTTTCTTCCTTTTTACATGATAGCCTTGCTCAGTAAAGTAGTTTTAGTTGTGGGTCCTGGTTTTTCATCACATCGAATATTTTCTTTGGTCTGTACCTTTGGTCTATCCCTTTGGTCTGAAAAGTTTCTGTTGAGAAATCAGCTGACAGTCTTATGGGAACTCCTTTGTAGGTAACTATTTTTCTCTTACAGCTTTTAAGAGTTTCTCTTTGTCTTTAACCACTTGTGTTTTAATCACGATGTGTCTCGGTGTCGGCCTCTTTGGGTTCATCTTGTTTGGGACTCTCTGTACTTCCTCAACTTGTGTGTGTTTTACCTTCACCAGGTTAGGGAAATTTTTGGTCATTATTTCTTCAAATATGTTCTCAATACCTTGCTCTTTCTCCTCACCTTCTAGTACCACTATGATGTGGACATTGTTATGCTTCATGTTGTCTGAAAGGTCCCTTAAGCTATCATCATTAAAAAATTTGTTGTTGTTGCTGCTCTGATTGGGTGTTTTTTCTACTTTATCTTCCAAATCACTAATTTAGTTCTATGCTTTATCCAACCTACTATTTATTCCTTCTAGTGTATTCTCCATTTCAGATATTGTATTTTTATTTCTGACTTTTTAAAATGATTTCTAAGCAAGTTTTCATGCTGTTGTAGTTCTCACTAAGTTCATTAAGCATCATTTCAATAATTTGTTTTGAACTTTCTATCTGATAAATTGCTTGCTTCTATTTCACTTAGTAATTTTTTCCTGGAGATTTCTGTGTTCTTTCATTCGAGGGATATTTTTGTTGTTGTTGTCTTCCAATTTTTGGCTGCCTCTTTGTGTTTGTTTCTATTTATTGGGTAGATCTGCTCTGACTTTCAGTCTTCATAGAGTGGTTTTATGTAGTAAGTGGCCTGTCAGACTCAGTGGTATAGTGCCCTTAATCATCTGAGCTGGGTTCTCCAGAAATGTCCCTTGTGTGGGTTACATAGGCCTTCCTGTTCTAATTGAATTTTGATTGCTTTTGGCCCATTCATGGGTGGGATTGACCCTCAGGCTGGCTGGCTGTGAAGATAAACCTTGACCACCTGTATGATCTGCTGTGCGGGTGCTGACCACACAGCAGAATTCATCTCAGCAGGATCTGGTGCCTGCTGAGACTTTCCTTCAGAAACTACTTGTGAAGCTTATTGGATTTTGCTCTTATGTTGTCCGAAGTTGGCCACTGGATGTGGTGGCTCTGGGGCCTCTTGGGAGGGAGTCTGATACAGACCAGTGTCAGATGCTACCTGTGACTGGCCCTGAACAACCTGTTTAGAGCTGTAAAGTGATCCACAGTTTGTGACTGTCTCTGCCAGGCCTGGGTGTGCACAGGAGGGACTAAGCTGTGTACCAAGGCTGGTTTTTACCAGCAATGAGCCCAGAGGCAGGTCAGCATAAGTCCCAAGGCATGTGGAGACCTGCCTCTGCCTACAGGCAGCCTGTTCTGCTCAGTCACTGAAAGTGCCTCTGGGAGTATTCAAGTCACATTAGGCAGGTTCCCAGTGAGTCACTAGCTATAGGCTAGTGGTATTCAACAGAGTGACACAGGCTCAAACTCAGTGCCTGTGTTGGGTCTGCAGCCACTCAGCAAATGTCCTTAGAGTCTACTAAGTCTAGCTGCTCACAAACATTTATGATGAGGTGGGGTTTCAGAGAGTCATCAGCGTGAGGCCAGCAGAGTTTGTTAGGCCCAAACAGACCAAGATTTGGCCATGTAAAGGGAAGGCTCTGCTCCAGTTGGGCACCTAGGGGGAAAGTTGTCTCTGTTCCAGAGCCACACAGTCTGTCCCAGATTCTGCTAGGACAAGACAGAGTTCAGCAGGCTGGGACTGCAGGGAATTGAGAGGGTGGAGCTAGTGGATCTCCCAAGGTGGGGGAATTGTTGATAAGGAACGGTAAGGAATGTTGCCCTTGCCCCAGAGCCATACCACCTGACCTTTCCCAGAATTTTCAAGATCTTGGCAGAGTGGAGCCCTAGGAGTTGAGCAGATAAGGCCCATAAACAACTGAACCAATTTTTAAAAAGAGCAAAAACGTTACTCCTGTCCAAAGAAGAGTAAGATTCTATATCACGCTATAAAACCATGATAATAAACCAGTGTGGAGTTGGCATCCACAGGTAAATAAGCCAATGGGACAGAAAAAAGAGCTCAGGGACAGATCTGTGTGTCTAGCAGAAGTGGTCTATGATGAAGATGCCACTTGAGTCAATGAAGCAAAATGGAGGCAATGTATAGGTTTTTAAAAGGAAACTGGTGGACTACACAGGAAAAAGTGTAGTTGAAAAATTTTCACAACATACCAAAATGTGTGCAGCTGGATTAAAGAAGTAAATGTGAAAGATAAGCTCTAAAGCAGATAGATGAAAACATAGAAAGGTATGTTGTACTGCTGGAGTAGGAAGGGCTTATTCAAAATTTCCAAATAACAAAACACGTGAGGGAAATTATTCAGTTGCCTATTCCAAAATTAAGGACTTGGGGTGATAACAAAATTATCAGATTACTGACATTTTGGAAAATATTTTTGCAGTATCTACACCATAGAATAGTAATTTTCAACTGGTGTGCCACATGGATTTTGGAAACATGTAACACCTGACCATTTAGTTAGAGACATTGACCTCTTTTCCTTTAGATGGTCAATTAAAAAAATGACAATAGCCATCAGGTATGAGTGAATCAAAATTATACCTATTTCTTTTCCCATTGGCAAAAAGTATGTTTTTTTGGTGCACACAAAATTTTGGTAGTTAGTTTTATGTATGCCATGAGATAAAAAGTTCGAAAATTGCTTCCATAAGAAGTTAGTATTTAGTTATACAAAATATTCCAAGTAAATATCTAGGATATGCAAAGTAAATCCACAATGAAAGATAGGAAGCTTATTTGGAATATGATCTTATTAAAATGCACCTGTGAGCCCTTGCCAGGTAGCTCCCTTAGTTGGTTAGAGCATCATCTCAATATGCCAAGGTTGCAGGTTTGATATCCAATCAGGGCACACACAAGAATCAACCAATGAATTTTTTAGAAAGTAGAACCACAAATCTCTCTCTCCTTCCTTTCCTTTTATTTCCATAAAAATCAATACATAAAAAATAATTTATCTAATAAAATAAAATAAAAATAATTTATCTAATAAAATGAATATATGAGACCTTGGTTTTCTCATTCACACATTCTGTCAATACTTATTGAGTGCCTGTTGCATATCAGCATTTTTCCAAGTCCTGGGAATACAAAAGACAAAATTATCTGCCCTCACAGAATTTGAATACTCTACAATGTTCTCTCCCACCAATAGGAAAGAGAAATCTGTTTCTACTAAGTGAATGTTCCTTCTAAATTACAATCATGTTATTTTTAATTTGAAAAAAAGTTTGGTGCATTTCTTCTAAATCCATACTTTTGAATGACAATAAATGACTTCCCTCACAGATTTGACAGGCATGGATATTTGATACATAGCTTGTGTTTTGACTGTAAAGCCCAGAGATTAGGTGGATCCAGAATGCTTAAAACTGAATCATAGCTCTTCCCCTAAAATCTGTTTGTGACGTTTAGCAACCTCTCTGAGCTTCAGTTTCTTCATCAGTGAAATGGCACTGAAGAGGAGATTTGACATGACGTTGGCATAAGGATTAAATGAGGTAATAGAACAGAATAGCATCTGGCACATTATAAAAAATCAGTGTTGGCTGCTTCTACTTCTATGTCTTGTTTATGTATTATGAGTCTGAAAACTGTTTCCCTATACACTGTATTTAAAAGTTAGTATGGTAACACCTCTGGGTTATTAATGAAGTAATTAAGATTTTCTGTAAGTGATAAGCAGAAAAGAAAGGCATATGTTTTCCCTAAGATTGCCCCCTACTCGTGCATAACATGTGTCTCATTGTTTAACCATTAACCCTAGCGTGTGAAACCTGAACTCAGGGTTGTAGGGCCTGAAGGGATGTGAACAACCGTCCTGCCAGTCCCAGCCCTTTTTCACACAGGAGGACTCGAAATCCTCGAGGAGATAAGCGCCTTTCCCCGAGTTGGCACAACTAGAATGATGGCACTGTTTACGAGATAGTGATGAATTGATTATGATTAGAAATGATTATTATCATTGGGAAATAAAGATTGTGATTAAGCAAGGTATTACCCTAGATGACTTACAAGATGGCTGTGAATTGGTGACATGAATAATCTCACTTAACCTGAGATCCTACACTTGGAGGATTTGTAGTTATTTCACACATGAACTCGTGACACTTCCAGTGCACTATCACTCTTTGGTGCAGTAGGTGGAGCCCATCTTCCTCATTAGAATAAAGTAAACAGATCAGACCCAATTATAAGTGGGAAAAAGTATGTGCCTCCTGTCACTGAGGGCTGCAGAGAGTGGTGACTGGCTGGAGAACTTGGGTGCAGTCAAAAAACACCAGAGTATGAGTTCTAAGTCAAAATTCATAGGGATCATCGGAGCTCCTTTCTCAAAGGGACAGGTGAGTAAAAAGCCTGGCTTGGAATCACTGGAATTTGTTGGAAAGTTTCAGTCTTAAAAATTAGTAAGGTATTATTGTCTGCTTAGTGAAGTTCATGCTGGCCCTGAAATAACATATAGTTTAACATTGTCTCACCATTTCGAAACACTGCACAATGATGCTCACAAACCCGCTTACAGTAGTGGCTTTCTAATCTCAGCCACAGTAGATTTTATTTGAATCTACTAAATTTCCCTTATATTTTTATCCTGCCTCCTGAGTGGAGCATTGCTCCAACACTCACTGCCTGGGCCCCTTGTGTGTGTTTTTCTTCCCCAGCCCCCACCCAGCCCCAGAATAGGGCAGCTGACTTGCTGATTGGGAAGCATGAGAAGCAAAAAGTTTTACAGTAAGTACATAATGGGTTACTATTTAAGATAGGGATGGAAAAATCTTAGAACAGCTCTATCTGGGGGAAGACATTCTTCTGCATTAGATATGACACCAAACACACCCAGTGAACCTTGATATGACTAAGGCATCATTAATACATTCATCTGTGGTTTGTGGACCAGATAAACTAATACTACACACATAGTTTCGGGGGTTAAAAATTAAGTTGAAATTCATTTTCTGACATCTTGAAAAAATAGTCTTTTTTTATAATGCCTGTTATTTTTTCATCTTATAAAGTAAAGATAATTAATGCTAACTTCCAGTTAAATGCATAAAGTTCTTTGGAAAAGAAATCCTCTCTATGGGTAGTAATGACTAGCAGTGTGGAGATCTATTTTTCACAACAAAGGTGAACTAGACTGCTTCAGTGCATTCTTTTCACCCGGAGCGAGAAGTCTAAAATTCTGTGGGGAAAGCGGCCCACTTCTCTGGTTTTTAACACACCCAAAGGTTTTGAGAGCCTTTTCCCCTTGGAAATGGGCACCCCCGTGTACACCCCACCACCCTCAGAGGGCCTGATAATGTCCCAGGGCTTGATATCGGTGCCAAAGATTGTGCTTCCCAGGCTTAGACGGCAGAATCCCAAAGATCTGACACAGAGAGAGGCTTTTCGAAGAAGTAACTTATTAGGTGGTTTCTGCTTCAGCAGTATTTTGCCTCACCACCTTTCCCCTGAGCATGGGGCCCAAACTACACTGAAATGTCTCTTTACCACCTTGCTTTCTAGAAATTAAGTTTGGGGTTTTTATTTCCTTCTTCCACTGAGATAATTTCTTATTAGAATGAAATATTGCCCTGGCCAAGTAGCTTAGTTGGTCAGAGCGTTGTCCCGATACACCAAGGTTGTGGGTTCAATCCCCAGTCAAGGCATATGCAAGAATCAACCAATGAGAGCATGAATAAGTGAAACAAAATAACTCTCTCTCTCAGATCAATATATAAAATAATGAAGTAATAGAATATTAAGCTGAGTCATATAGGAAGCCCATATTTTAAGTTTACTAAAGAAATGTGATCCAGCTCTCGTTAGAATGCAAAGATAAAGCATCTGCTGGGTGTACTTTCGTCCTCGCTAATATGGCTCCACCTCTTCCCTTATGACTCAGCTCCATGGACTATGTATATTTTCATGGTTCTAGTTCCCAGTAGCTGTTCCACTTGCTTTAGTCTCTCCTTTGCCAAGTGAGTTTATGTGTAAGTGTTGTCTGCTCTTGTCAGGAGAAACCTGCAAACATGAAGGAAGTAAAAATGAACAGTAGTAAACTTGCTTTTGAAACAAAAACACTCCATGTAAAATACTTTTTTCCTCATTTCAATTTTATTTTTAAAACACATTAACTTTTTTAAATGATAAAAATAGCATTTTTGAGTGCTTACCCTGGGGCAGGTACAGCAGCCAAGTTCTTAATGAGCATTATCTAATTTGATTCTCACAGTGGAGCCATGAGTTGGTCACACTTACAGTCTTCACTTTCTAGGTGAGGAAACTGAGGCATAGAAATGGAGTGTAACTTAGCCAAGGCCGCAGTGATTGCCTGGTGGAGTGGTGTAGATGGGATTGGAACTTGGGTCTTTTAAAATCCAGAGTAAGTTAACTTAATTTTTTATAAACAAACAAAAAATAAATTTTCCTCATATTTTTAGAAAAGAAATAATTTTATTTGAATGGAAATAGGCTATTTCTGCATTTTAGCTTCTTATTTAGAAGTCCATGTTCTCATTGTTTTTGGTGCTACTGTGTCTATATGTAGAGAGAGAATTTTAAGACAGCACATTTATTTAGCTATGTAATTAATGCCTAGAACAATTTCATAGATTGGCATCAACCTTCAGTGTTCTTTTAATTTCAATAATCTATATGTGATTGCTTTATGCAACTCTGTGAATAATTCATACTTTTAAGACCTTTAGTAATTCTATAAAAGTGTTAGTCCACGAACTAAAGAATCCTTTGTGTACCACTCTTTGAGACAGGAAGAAAGAAAAGTGAAAGAAAGAAAATCTGACTGTAAGTTGGTAATGTCGAAAGGACTGATTAATGGGTTTAAGAAACTGCCAGACTGCCAAAACAAGGCAGTAACATTGAAATAAATTTTTTTTTTCCAACCTGGCCACACTCGTTCTGGTAAATATACCAGATAATAAATGTATTATTATCTGGCAATGTTACTGCCAAAATATGACAGTAACATTGAAATTATTTTTTTCCTACCTGGCCACACTCATATAATAAGATTACAGGTACCATACCCTTCAATATATATCTGTCTGTAAAAAGGAAGGGGAAAAAAAAAAGCAAATTAAGACAAGTATGAATTGACGCTCCTAAGGTTATTCTGTTGTGGTTGCTGTTTTACATGAAATTTTCTCCGGGTTTATCAGAACTGTCCCTTTGCCAACCCAGGCAATGTCGTACTCTTCTTAGTTTTGAACTCTTGCGTTGCACTCTGGCTTCTTACTGCAAAACCAAATAGGGCAGGTCAGAGGTTACAGACCCAAACCAAATTTGGATGGTGAGTAAATACTGCTTCACTTTCCCTGCAAATCCTTCAGAGGCCTTTCCCAGAACATGGGGACATTTTACTGACACAGAAATGTTTCCCTCTTTTTTTCATATATATGTATTTATTTTCAAATAATCAAGTGTTTCACAAACTGCCTTATGCTCATCCAGGACCACATGTTAGAACTCCTATCCTTAGGCATACCTACAGCACAGTAGGGCTCCTGTTTTTACTCTATATTCTGTTTATTTATTTATTATATTTATTAGGGTTACACTGGTTAATAAGTGTCCAGTGTACATTTCTAGGACGCCTGATCTGTACATTGCATTGTGTGCCCACCACATTTTGCTGACATAGAAGCAGTTCTTTTAATGCTGCGGTTAATCGCAAAATCCCCGATATGCTCATTTATTTTTGGGTGGATTCCAGCAAAGATGGAACTAAAATAACTGAGAAAATAAAAGGAGCAAGGAAGGTGGAAAGAAGGAAGAAAGGAAGGAAGGAAGGAACTCCATGAACACGCTCTGGCCCCTGAGCTTCGGCAGAAGGCCTTGGGCTGGTGAGAACCCCTCTAGGGAGTATAAACCAAGCACAAAGAAAGGACTGATATGAGAAGCCACTCGAGTCAAAGAAATAAAAAAGAATGTTAGAGAGGGTCACTCTGGAAAAACTCAGTGACTGTGTTAGAGCAAATGCAGTGTTTGCAAAGGGGCCCATTAGATTTGTTCTAAAGTTTTTAAGGTAGAGGGGGAAAGGCCATGGAATTTTATCAAACTGACCATTTTTGTGCATCTATTAAGTGTCAGTTTAAAGAAACTTGACCAAAATCTAACACAAAACCAAAGGCAGAATTTGAGCCAGGCAACATTCTATGGGGCTGTAAAGAATGAGAAGTTCTCTCTCCTTGATTGGAGTGGGGGCGGGCAGAGCCAGGTGAGAAGGGAATGGGAAAAACAGTGGAAGGCAGTCTGTCTGTGTCAGGCAGTGCATGGGTTCCCTGCTGCCAGGGACAGGGGTTTGAATCAAGGATTTTCTTTGCAGCCAGGGCAAGTCATCTGCTAATTTGAATTGAGAAGAAATATCTCTCGGTTTGGTGCCACAGCCAATCCTATGGACAGCACATATCTTTTGGCACCTGTTCTCCTTTGACAATAGGAAATAACTTTGTATGTGAAAGTCTTGTTGGAAATTAGAATCAGAGAGATACATAAAAAAGCTGTTTCTTTATATCACTAATCTACCAGGACACTGGATAAGGTTTATTGGCAAGAGGAAGTAGGTTAGCTTCCCTGATGTAAAACAGCAAGGGTAGAATTCTTGTTCGCTGTGTTTATGAAGGAGGTCACAAGTTGAAATATCAGGTTGTCTTTGTGGTTTCAGTCAGCTCCCAGGTGACTTTTCCTTGTTGCATGTGTTGTCCCCAAGACCCCCGCCTTACTGCTGTGAGGACCTGCGTGTAGCTCTTTCCCATGCCACATTTTTTTCAAATGCCTTTACTCAAGCTGTTTCTCTGTTTACAAAGTTTCTCCATCACCCCATCCATTGTTCCGAACTCGTGCTGCAACCCTAAACTAAAATGGTATCTGCTCCACCTGGTACCTGCTGGGTCTGGCAGAGTTAGGAGCATCCTGTTGTTGCTGTTATAACATCTTGCACAGTTTTGGGGTTAAAGCAAATCTCCCAGTACTGTAACTGAGGTTAAACATCCAAATCTCCTATTCGCTTGTGAGTTAAAGACACAAACCCTCTCCTTTTAATAATTGTATCTCCATCTATCAGAGCACTTTTGCACAAAATGAATGTTTATTATGTGAGTAACATGGTGTGATGGGAAAAGGAGATGCAGGTTTTGGAGTCCAAAGGACCTGGATAAGGTCCTGAAGCTCTCCCACTTGCCAGCTGTGTGCCTGTAGGAAAATTGTATGAACTTTCTGATTTTAGATCCTCATGTCTGACATAAGAGTAATCCAGTCTACCTTGTTGTGTTAATTAAATGAGATTATTATGTAAATTTCTGGCTCTCTAAGAACTCAATAAATCATAAGTTACAATTCAACTGGTTAAATAATTAAGAGTTTCCTATTTGTGTGCATCTGATGATTAAGATGATGTCTGAATTACTTTATTTTTTAATTGTCCAGCCACGAAGAGGAGTGGAAGAAGGCCCAAAGGTATTGAGAAAGGCTGGCCTGCTTGAGAAACTTAAAGAACAAGGTAATTTTTTAAAAGACCTTATTTATTTATTCTTTTAGAGGGAGGGGGGGAGAAGGAGAAAAAGAGGGAGAGCAACACTGATGTGTGAGAGATGCATCTACCAGCTGTCTCTCACACGTGACCCAACTGGTGACCAGCAGGCAACCCAGGCATGTGCCCTAACTGGAAATCAAACTGACAACCCTTCTATTTGCAGGATGACACAACCAACCGAGCCATGCCAGTCAGGGCAAGGTCATTTTTTAGTTGAAAGATGATCAGCTTGATGTCTTTCCCACTCTGAAGGGAGGAGCGGGCTCTTGGTTACACGAGGGTGTGTCTGGAATGACATCTGTACCACAGAACTGCAGCTCTGGCTATAACCTTAGATAGACACTCTATTTAAAAAAGCAGCATATGTGGAAAATGAGCAATCAGTATTGTTTATTTACTCAGATATTTTGTCTTTCCAGCCAGACTGCTTTGTAAGAGAATGTGTGTTTAAGAATTGGATTTGGGATGGGTGGTAGGGGAGTTGAGGGGATTGAAAAGGAAAGGCAAGGGGCAGCAGGAAATGTACTACTACCAACAGGAGCCCTATTTGTAAGAGGAAATATAACAGTAATAATACCAAGCCTCTGTTTGACACCACCATTTTCCTTGGTGGGGGCTTAGTGCAATGGAGAAGCAGCAGGCTTCAGGTAGGTCAAGTTCGGACCAGAAAGCGTACTTCTCCAATGAGTCCAATGGGAAATCAGATTTCTATGTCCTGGTTTGTAAAGGAAGAGGCATTGAGCAGTTGTATGCAGGAAGAACTAGGCTTCCCACCCTGACCTTTTCAGCTCTGCGAGAGAGAAGGAGGAGGAAAGCAGGGTAGTTGCTCAGAGTCTCAAGGCTTTTCCAAGCCGCTTGCCACCCAGACCCCATGAACTGGGCAGCTCGTTGCATCAACAGGCTTCTTTGGATCCCACCCTTCCATCACTGGTGTTAGGGTGATTGGTACCATGGGCTGTGAAAGAATGCACAAAGAGGAGAAAAGGCAGAGAGTAAAGTTTTATTCACTTTCCAAGAGGGGAAAGAGGCTGGTATGAAGAGATACACCAGCAGTGAAATGTTGGGGCTATGAGTTTTTATTGGGTGATAAAGGAAGAGGGGTGCCGCTGGGTAGTCCTGGGAATTAGTTGTAAATTAGGAGGTTTCTGGCTGATTGTGCAGTCTTCAGTTTGTTCTGCTAATATCTTTGGGTTCAGTGTCCAGGTACTTGGGTCTTGAATGACCTGTTTGTATAAGTTCTTGAAACACCTGTGTGGGGGATACTTTTAGTAATCTCTCCAGTCTTAAGAATAGAGACTCAGAGAAAGAACAGTTAATTATGCCTGACGGACTCAAGGAAAGAGATAACTAGCTCTGGTAAAGAGGGTTGGTCTAAAAGGAGCTTTCTTGTCCTTTCAGTTGATTCTGAAAAAATGGGCCACTTGAAAGGATTGGGAGTGGAATGGATCTAGGCCTCTGAGTCAGGATCAGGTGGGGAGGCAATGTCTATGGAGCTTTCAGCAGCTCCACCATTAGGTCCAGATGGCTATGTCAAATTCCATGTCTTTCCATTCTGTTGAAGAGTAAAGTTAGAACTTTTTGTAGATAGCTAGCTACATCCAAAAATATCTACCACGAACATCAGCATGGTCTATTAAGTCAACACTTTATTTTCTTCAAGTTTCTGCCTGTCTCTCCAGGCACCTCCTTTCACCAGCTGGAGCAGTTCATTTCCCTTGGTTGTTGCAAGAACTGTTACTTATTTTTCTTTGAGAGGAGACCTAAGCTCTCTGAAAATATGCCCATGGACGTCCACTGTGATATCAGAAATAATAAGGGAGTATTAAGTTATACCACTGCTATTAATAAACATGGGAAGTATAAATAAAAAAACACTAGTAGTACTGGTATGTGTATCATTACTCACATTGCACACACATCCTATTTGCGTATGTGAGCATCCAAATGAAAAATACATTGCATTTTAAAAGTATAGCAAAGTAAATGTCATCTTTATATATAAAACGCTGTTGAAGTGTTGGCGAGGATATGGACCAACTAGAACCCTTGGTATCTGATGAGAATGTATAATGATACAACCACTTTGCAAAGGAGATGGGCAATTTCTGGACCAAAAAGGGCCATGAGGGAACTTAGGGGTGGGTAGAGGAACTTTTCTAAATCTTCACTGTGGTGGTGGCTGAAAGACTGTAGATATTCCTAAAAACCATTGACCAGTACACTTAAAATAAATGCATTTTAGTAAATAAGAAGTTTATTTCACAAACTGAAAGAGAGAGAGAGACCCCAGGAGAGACAAGAAGCCCCGGGGAAATGGATGGGCCCAGTTCATCAGAAAACAAGCATAATTCGGTCACGTTTGATTTCAGGTTAAATGTCTTGATGGTGGTACTGAATCATGGACACACATGGACACGAATAAGCGCACAATGACCATTTACTTGGGGACACTGCACCAAGCGCATATGGCAGTTTTACATGAAGCTCTGTGTCTTGAGGCCTAATACAGGCCCCTTTAGGAAGTGCACCCAGGTCCTTAGGAACTTTGGGTTATCTTATTTAAAAAGTGTAGTAATAGAACCTTTATTTCTTGAGCTTGCTGAAGTGTTAAGATTGATGGTAGTCACATATTCTTATTGAATTCTGGCAGTACCACTGTGAGGCAGGTGCAATGGACAGAAGAGGGAGCTGAAATGCTTCAGCAAGTGACTGACTGAATTGAAACCAAGGACTGCAAATAAAATAACGGTGTATTTTCTTCTGGGTGTATGTATGTATGTGTGTGTGTGTACTACTAAAATGATTTATTTCTTGATTACGAACAAAATGTATGCTTATTGTAGGAAAGTAGAAAGCACATGAGCCCAGACAGAGACAGTGACACCACCCATTAAACCCAAACCAAAAGAACACCTGCTGCTGTGGTACTTACAGCCTAACTGGGTGGGTTCAAATACTTCCCAAGAGCCCAGTGTCCGGCAGGCAGCAGAGTGCAGCATAGGTGACATGATGATGTCCGGCAAAAGCAGGCATGGTTTATACCTTCGCAACTGTCCCAGCCTGTTCAGACTTTTCCTGTGTCTATACTTTAGAAAACATACCTATTTTGTAAATTTAAAATCATCCTGCACAGGCTCTTATGTAAACTGTTTTTAGTAACCTGCAACTTTCAATTTTATTTATAGAATGTGACGTAAAAGATTATGGGGACCTGCCCTTTGCTGATGTCCCTAATGACAGTCCATTTCAAATTGTGAAGAACCCAAGGTCGGTGGGGAAAGCGAATGAGCAGCTGGCTGGCATGGTAGCGGAAGTTAAGAAGAATGGAAGGATCAGCATGGTGCTGGGTGGAGACCACAGGTGCTGTCCAGGGATGAGCTCCACGGTGGTCTGGCACAAATGGCATGAAGGGAGCAGAACCAAAACCATGTGCAGAGAGAGGACATATGGAGGGGAAACCACTGATCAATAGTGTAACCACATTTTCTGCCCTTAAATTTTTTTATTGGTTACTACTTTATTTTGGAAAGAGATTTAGCTCTATTTGAAGTCTTGCACTATCTTTATTAGAGTAGAAAGTACATGAAATATGAATGAATTTCAGTAACATTCAGCACAGGCTTACATTTCTAAATAAATAAGCACTGAGGAAATTCATAGTCAAGTTTTTGTACTTAATTACTAATAATAGGAACCGCTCAGTAGGTCAACCCTTAAAAGTATTTTCTATTATAAAAGTAATAATTATACAATTTTTGAAGTACACACACACAAAAGGAAAAGAACCGATGGTAATTGCAGTTCCCTAACAAGCTTTTCAACTGGAATTGAAACTCTGGCATAGTTTCCTTCCTGCTGAAGTTTTTCCTTTTAACATGATTTTTTAAAACACTGTGTACATGTGCACATGTGTGTGTTGTCCTGGCTTGTTCTCAATCTACAGAATTTTCCTTATCTCACTTCATGATATATGAGCATCTTTTTTTACTGTTGCATCATTTTTCATTAAATTATTACATCATTGTATATACCCATTTGTCTGACATTCAGGTTATTTTCAGATTTTCAGCATTACAAATAATATGGCAAAGATAATTTTTGTGCATGAGCCTCTTGAATGCTTACTTTCAAGTTCTTAAAATACGTAACGGAAGTATGATTAGATCAAGAGTGTAAACAGTACAATGGCTCTCACCTCAAGAGTCAATTACTTTAGCCCCTCAGTTTTCTTCTCTGAAGTCAGACTGTTACCAGGGCTTCTAACACCAACAGCAGTTGAGGAACTGGGGCTTACTTTCTATGTTAAGTAGAAAAATTTTTAAGTGGCAAAAAAACATAAGAAACCTAAAAGGAAAACGAACTCCCAGCTGGAATAATCAATACCCGAATATCACAGCATCGTTGCTTTCACTCAGAAGTGACAGAAAAGTTCATGATTCTCTGAAGGATCCTAGAAGCATTCATAAGTGGGAGAAAAAGGGCATTGTATGGCAAATCAAGACCTTTTGACTTTTGTGTAAGACATTTCTTAGCTGTTGCATTCAGGCAACTTTTCTGGAGCTTGGGGTGCTTGTGGTGAACTTTGAGGGTTCTGGACCTGGTGAAGAGGGGGACCTAAAATGTGGGGCAGGGGGAGTAGAGAGCTAAGTGGAGGACCCCACTGTTGAGCAGAGGGAGTGAGCACTGGGAAATCGGACTGGAGTCAATGTAGGGCCTTTGAGGGACGCTCCCCAATGGCAATGATTGTCTTCTAAGCGAAAAGACTCTGTCATAACTCATGCGGGAGAATTCAGCATTCACCAAGAGAAACGAGAGTGCAGAAGCCTCATTTAACCCTGACAATGGACTAGTCTCCTGATAAGGAATCCTTTGTATGGCTAGCATTTTCACACATATTTTACTTTTGGTGAAACTATAATTTACAATTTTATTAGAACGTGGTTCAGTGATGCTTCCATGTAGCTATAACTTCTTAGTATTAAGTGTAAACTCTACTTTCTCTGTTATTATAGTTATTTAGTTGGCACCTCTGATTTAAAAACCTATGAGAAATATCAGCCATTCTAACTTAAAGAAAAATTAAGCACGAGCATTGAGTTAATAATGTGATGTATGTAAAGAAAAGGAAAAAGAGATAGGATGTACATGACACTGCAAACCTGATATTCACACAAACTTTCTCCTCCCAAGTCTGGCGATTGGGAGCATCTCTGGCCATGCCAGGGTGCACCCGGATCTCTGTGTCATCTGGGTGGATGCCCACACCGACATCAACACTCCACAGACAACCACAAGTGGGAACTTGCATGGACAGCCTGTGTCTTTTCTACTGAAGGAACTAAAGGGAAAGGTAAGAGGCTGGTTGGTTTTCTATGACAAAAGAATAATCTCAGGAGCAGCTCAGGTGGAGAGAAGGAAGAACCCTTCTGGCATTTCATCCTTGGTGTAACCTCAAACTCTTTTCTTGGAAGTCAATAAGCAAGGGTTGGAAGACAACAGTGTCAAAGTTCAGCACCTCTCCCTTTCTTGATAATTCACAAAGTGACCTTATATGTTTCCTTTTGATTTTTCAACTACCCTTTGTAGTAGGTGGGGCAGAGTGTAGTCCTTTATAAGCAAGTTAGCGGAGGTTCCCAGGTTAACCCAACTCACCCAAGATCATGTGCCAAGCATAGTCAGGAGTCAGACAAGGGCCAGAACTGGTCTCCTAATGCCAACCTCTTTCTATCACCTGCGACACAGCCAGCCTCTCATTCGTAGCAAGTGTCGGGTCCACATCATGGGGCCTCTTCAAAAATAGTATTTTAAAGTAAAGAGTACAGTGATTTATTATTTAACATCTTTATTGTGAGATGTTATCTAAACATATCTAAATCATAAGCAGAACTGTGTTCTTGCTCCCTAGAAACTTCTTTTCTAAAATACCTAAGGCAAAACAAGCTTGACTCCAGGACACTTGAAAAGCAACCGAAGGGTTGGTCAAAAATTTTCCTGAGGAACTTTTGCCAAGATGGAGGCTTAGGTGGAAACATTGTGCCTTCTCGCACAACCAAGTTTAAAAACAACAAAGTTTTAAAAACAAAAAACGCAGCCAAAACACAGAAAATTGAACAATACGGGAGTCTGGCAACAACGAACCACTCAGCCAGACCGATAAACCAGCGAAGGAACGAGCAGTGAGACAGACCGGGCAGGCCCCTGCAGCAGGAAGGAGCAGAGGGGACTGCTCTTGCTCCCTCTCTGACCCCGCCCCCATAGACAGCATCACAAACCAGCAACCTGGGTGGCCCTACTCTGGTGAACAACTAAGGCTCCTCTTCTCATATGTAACAGGCACAAACAGATCAAAACATGGTTCAAGAACAACTCAGAGCCCCAGAGCCCATAAATCTAAGTGAACAAGAAATTGCCAACCTATCAGAGGCACAGTTCAAAACACTGGTGATCAGGATGCTCACAGAACTGGTTGATTTTAGCCACAAATTAGAGGAACATATGAAGGCTAAACTAATTGAAATGAAGGGAAATGCACAGGAAAGCAATAGTGATGGAAAGGAAACTGGGACTCAAATCAAGGGAGTGGACCAGAAGGAAGAAAAAAATGACCAAACAGAAAAATATGAAGAAACCAGAACCCAAAAAAATGAGGAGAGGTTAAGGAACCTCCAGGACATCTTTAAATGCTCCAACATCCGAATTATAGGGATACCAGAAGGGGAAGAGAAAGAGCAGGTGGAAATCTTATTTGAACAAATAATAAAAGAGAAATTCCCCAGTCTGGCAGAGGCAATGGACTTCCAGAAAATCCAGGAGGAGGGGAGAGTCCCAAAGAAGTTGGACCCAAGAAGGAAAACACAAATGCACATCATAATTATATTAGCCAAGATTCAAATGAAGGAGAGAATCCTAGAAGTAGCAAGAGATAAGGGGACAGTCACCTACAAAGGAGTTCCCATCAGACTGTCAGCTGATTTCTCAAAAGAGACCTTACAGGCAAGAAGAGGCTGGAAAGAAGAATTCCAGGTCATGAAATCCAAAGACCTACATCCAAGATTGCTCTATCCAGCAAAGCTTTCATTTGGAATGGAAGGACAGATAAAGTGCTTCTCAGATAAGATCAAGTTCAGGGAGTTCATCATCACCAAGCCTTATTATATAAAATGTTAAAGGGACTTATCTAAGAAAAAGAAGTTAAAAAATATGAACAGTGAAAGGACAACAAACTCACAGTTATTAACAACCACACCTAAAACAAAAGCAAACTAAGAGGACAGCTAGATCAGGAGTGGAACCATAGAAATGAAGATCACATGAAGGGTTAGCAACAGGGGAGTGGGAGAAGGAGAAGGGGGGAGAAGGTACAGAAAATAAGTAGCATAGATGGTAGGTAGAAAATAGATGGGGAGAGGGCAAGAATAGTAGGGGAAATATAGACTCTAAAGAACTTGAGACATATGGTCATAAACTAAAGGGGAAGGGAATGGAGGGGGAGGGGTGTGCAGGATGAAGGGGAACGAAGGGGGGGAATAGAATAACTGTAATGGCATAATCAATAAAACATATTTTTAAAAATCTGCAAAAAAAATTTCCCTGAGCCACTCTGAGTCATCTTCTAGATTAAGTCCTTACTGAGACAGAGAAGCTAAGGGGGACTGGAAGTGATGGAAGCACACTGACTTTCTTACAGAAGAGTCCCTGGGAAAGGAGGGCCCAATGGAAAGGGTGCGCACATGATTAAACACTGCTGGGTGCTGACAGAGGATTCACGTTAGGTCTGGGCCACATGGCAAGGCTGACTAAGGCCAAAACAATCAAGGTTCTACCAGGGAAGGCAGGCATTCTCTTCTTCGTTTTGTATTGCTTTGCATGATTCCTAAAAATTTATGTTCTAAATAGAAGATACATGCAATCCAACAAGTGTACTTAACTTTCAATGTAGGATTTGCTCAAGAGAAGCATATATAACCAAATGGAAACATTGCAATTTTAGATCCCTGATGTACCAGGATTATCCTGGGTGATGCCCTGCATATCTGCCAAAGATATTGTGTATATTGGCCTGAGAGACGTGGACCCGGGGGAACAGTAAGTTTATTCCTTGATGTCATTTACCTTCATTTTTGTTCTTCTGTACACTAGATGTACTGGCCAAACCTATGAGGAAAAGTTGTCTTAAGTGCCAAGTCTATATATCTGCACCTATATGTCTACATATATTTATAGGTATACATGCATATGTATAAATATGTGGATACATATATGCACATGTACATATATTTTCATATTGACTTGCTATTAAAAATATATTGATATATCCATAGAGTTTACAGACTTTAAAGTATTTTATGTATTTTACCACATTGATCTTTTCTTAGAAGGAAACAAGAGGATGTCCAGTCAGCCCCCATATTAATTATAGATTATCTTAATATCTCCTCTTTTACAGCTACCTTTTGAAAACTCTGGGTATTAAATACTTCTCAATGACTGAAGTAGACAAACTGGGAATTGGCAAGGTGATGGAAGAAACACTCAGCTACCTACTAGGCAGGTATGATGCTTGTGTGTGTGACACAAACACTGTTAAAAGAACTCACTACTGACACGAATCAATGTAAGTTATTAATGAAGCCCTTCTGTAAAATTGTGAAACTTCACTGGGCTGTTCCTTTTCATAGATCAAAGGGAGAACTCTATTTGTCTACTAAATATTAAACCACTGACTTTAAACTGAATTGCTTTCCCACCTCCTAAAAGAAAGAAAAGGCCAATTCACCTGAGCTTTGATGTGGACGGACTGGACCCGTCTGTTACCCCAGCCACTGGCACACCAGTCGCCGGAGGGCTGACCTACAGAGAAGGTCTCTACATTACAGAAGAAATTTGCAGAACAGGTAGGTATACGTCTGAGTGAATAAAGAAGCAAATATAGACATGGTCAATGTATATTTATACCTCCAACCTGAAAATCAAGCCCCAGTTGACACTTCTACAATGCCCATCACGTGATGTAAGAACTGAAGTGGTTTCAGTTGGTCATCCCTTTTTTGAACTCCTAAGTAATATTTCAAAGATATTGAATTTAAAATGTCAACTGTTTAACAAATTACCTTGTTTCCATTTGTCCTTGTAGGACTGCTGTCGGGATTAGATATAATGGAAGTGAACCCATCTCTGGGGAAGACACCGGAAGAAGTAACTCGAACAGTCAACACAGCAGTGGCAGTAACCTTGGCTTGCTTTGGCGCTGCTCGGGAGGGCAGTCATAAGCCTATTGACTACCTTAACCCACCAAAGTAAACGTGGAAACATCATACATAAATCTCCCAGCTAATAACTGGATTACCAAATCCAGTAATTTACGTACGCTTATGGTTATCCTCTTACAGATTTGGTATTTCAGAAAAATGTTTTGCCCTAGGAAATAGTAGTACAATTAGTATAAACTATATCAATTACTTCTTGGTATGAAAGATTTGGAAATTCAAATTTTTGTCAACTTAAAAAGCTTGTATTTTGGCAAAAGAGAAGCGTACATTAACTTAAAAAAAAAAACCCTGCTGACATTAGAAATAAGCACACTCCCACAAAGGAGTGGCAAGGAATATTCAAAGTGATGAAGAACAAGAACCTTCAACCAAAATTACTCTACCCAGCAAAGCTGTCACTTAGAATCAAAGGACAGATGAAGAGCTCCCCAGACAAGAAAAAGCCAAAGGATTGCATCATCACCAAACCAGTGTTATATGAAATGTTCAAGGGTCTTCTTTAAGAAGAAGGAAAACAAGATAAAAAATATGAATAGTAGATACATACCTACCGACAACTGAATCTAAAAATCAAAATAAATGAATAAGCAGAACAGAAACAGACTCACAGAGAACATTTTAATGGTTGCCGGACGGGGTGGGGGGGGGTGTTGGGGGCATGAGTGGAAAAGGTGAAGGGATTAAGAGTTACAACTTGGTTGTTACAGAGAAGTCATGGGGATATAAACTACAGCACAGGAAATAATGTAGCAATATTATTCTAATAACTATGTGTGGTGTCAGATGGGTTCCAAGATTTATCAGGACTTTCACTTTGTTAAGTTATATGATATCTAATCACTGAAGTGTTCACCTGAAACTACTATATACTATATGTCGACTGTAGTTGAAAAATAAAGTGATTAACTATTAGCGCTTCCACCATCTGATTCTTCATAATTAGCCCCAAATTGTAAACCTAACCATTGACATAAGGACTTTGTAAATAAATATTTTACTGAATTACTTTTAGATAAGAGCAATGAGACTGGATCTTTCTTTAGAGTACATTGTCTGACACAATAGCCACATGTAGTTATTTAAAGCTTAATATAATTTTAAATTCAGTTCTGCACTTCAAGTGCTCAACAGGCACCTGCAGTGACTAACTACTGTATCAAACAGCACAGACAGAAAGCATTTCCACCACTGTGGAAAGGCCTGTTGGACAAAGCTGCTTTAAAGTTACTAGTGAAAAAGAACCAAGCAAACAAAAACTTTCAGAATGTAATGAATATAAACACATTTTTGTCCCTCAGGTGCATTCGAAATCCAAGCTTCTGCCTTCTATTAAGATCTCCGATTAGTAATAATTCTTTAAAAAGCCCATTTGGGGAATATCATGTTCTAGTTTTTAAAGCTAGAGGAGAAACTGCATTTTTAATAAATAAATTGGAATGTATATAAATATCCTTGAGAAAGTATATCCTTGAGAACTATATCCTTGGAAATACTGATTTTCATTTCCTCTGTTCTATTTGTATAATACCAGTGTCACAATGATTCCCACTCTAGGATCTCAAAGCAATATATTCCTTGGGTAGCAAGACTATATTGAGACTATGTTAAGAGTAGCACTTGAATTCATTTCTAGCATAAAATCTCTGGAGAATTTTAACAATATTAGCCTGGAAAATTACTTATACCATTATATAAATATTAAGCTGGACTTGCATGGCAAATAAAGGTTTAGTGATTATAGTAATATGAACCAAGAAAAAGATAAGGGTCTAGGAAGACGTACGTGGAAATAAAATATGAAGTATAGTTGATTAAACTTCACTAACACTTTTTTTAAAAATCAATACTCCTAGTTCTAGGTCAACGTCAGTCACCAGCGTCCTGTGCAGCCCAGGGGAGGAGCCCCACTCCCTGCGCTGACCCAGTGGGCACCCTGCCCGCACACAGCAGACGCTCACTCGCACCAAGGAATCAACTGGACAGTTTATTCACCTAACAGATTTTACTTCTGAAGTGTTTTACAATCCGAATGTCATTTCCCCCCAAAATTGACATCAAGTTTCTCAAAATTTAATACACCCTAAAGAACAAAAATGTACACTGTATTTAAAAAATAAATATTTAAAAATGTTAAGATTATAAAAATTCAAAGAATCACATCATCTGCCAAGTGAGTGTCAACCTGGAAAAGCAATTAATTCGTTTTTAAAAACAGAGAATGAAGAATCCCCATTTAAGCATGAATTATTGTTTAGGCATTTATAGCTATGTTATTTACATTGCTTCCAACTCATTTCATACAGTTAAGTTCAAGTCCACAGTAAAGGCATAAATTTGCCATCTACCTCAACTAGGAACGTTAGCTTATTTACTTGAAAATCTATGATAAAAATTTTAAACCATTTAAAAAGAATATGAAACTGTGTTTACTCCTACAATGCAATGAAATCTTAAGTTCTTTATATGACAAAAATCTTTTTATCCCAAACACATACCAAAAGAGAGTTACATATAAAAGATTATATAATAACTGCTTTACATGTGTGGTGCCTTCAAAAAGATGTGTTTCAAGACTGAATAACATTAATAATAAAACATAAAACCAAACCTGTGGCTAGAATAAGAAAGATTGAGAATATCTCATAAAAGTCTTGATCACAGAGACCTCGATGTTCCTGAGCATCTCTACTAGACAGTTATGTACATGAACGACGTGTACTTTACTTGATCTCTTAGAGACGTTAAGTACAGGCAGGGAGGTGGGAGTTATAAAGTGTCAATAGATTCATCATTTGAATCAAAATATTGAGTTGGCCAAAAAGTCTCCATGGTTTTTTCCATAAAATAAAAGACATATTTTTTATTTTCACCAATAACGTTATTGGTTTGGATATTTTGAGTATGTCAGCCTATCTCCCACATGGTATAATGTTGATTGTTCTCAGTTAACGTCTCCATTTGATCCCTATCAACTTCAACTGGTCTAGCTGACCGTGGAGCACTGTCCAGTGAGAAATCTCTAGTACATAACTTTGCAAACCACTTTTGACACATTCAGTAACAGCACCTTCTCCATATACTACACAAATCTTTTTTTGCATTCAGTTGTGTTTTTGTCTTTCTTGAAATAATAAAGCATAGTGGGCCAAAAATGTTGTGCATTTTCTTCCATTTTCAATATTAAAATGGCTACACAAATTTTTTACCCATTCTGATGTTTTTAAATGCACAATGAGATGACAGCTGTCAAAATACAATCTAACAAAACTTTCAAATGAAGTTAAAGACAAAGAAGCGCTACTACAGTCATCTTAAGGAAAAAACCAAATGGACTTCTGGGCCAACTGAATAAAATAATCTGAACGTCACTGCTTCTACTGCATCACCATGTACCATGGGCATGTTCAGATTTAACCATCTGAGTCCACTTTCAAAGGCAGATGCATTTCCATGTCACCGCAGTACCGCCCGACTTCACTGCGTTACTGGAAGAGACACGGGCACCTGATTAGACTGAGGCGCTGGAGACCCACTGTTTGCGGCCTGCGGGGGCACCGTAGCTGGCTCCATCTTGCTAATGTGTGTGATAAATCGAAGACGAAGTTTCAAAGCTGGTTTTAAATTACAGATAATCTTCTCTACCTAAAAAATAAAAAACACATGAACAAATATTTTAACCAGAGATTTTTAATTTCCCAGTTTTTAAAGAAGTTATATAGATATCCTGAGACAATAAACTAGGGAGTGGGGTGGATGAGAAGTGTATCACATGTTTTGTGTTTTAACAAAAGCAGATAAAACTATTTCTTTCTCACATAAGAAAAACCATGTGTTCTCCCTCATATACATTCTATATATGTGTGTGCATGTGCATATATCTATGTATACTTGCATATATTTACAAAAACATATGCACTTATCTGGCCATTAATTCCACTGTCAAAAGCCAGTATAGTTTACACTGGAAATGTGCACGTGGAACAGGCGGCCACCCTTTTAAATGCCATCTTCATGGAGGCACGGAACACAGGTACATTTTGAAGTTCTTTGAATGACACGTGTCTGTGACATATACCTACAAAGCTAATTTTTGGTTCTGATTTATACTTGGAATTCAAACTAAATAATATCAGATCTACTCTTACTTAAGATACTTTAAAAAATAAATACATCAAGCAGTTTCTGTTTTCTTAGCTTTACTCAAATGCTCTCTGACCTCCTGGAAAGGGTCAGCCCATTAATAACATTTTCTTCCTGCAGTTACTTTGTGCCACAGTGCCGTGGGCCCAAATGCAAAGGACGTTAAATAAAACATGCTTATACTGGTTCCCCCTCAACTCTCCTCGACAATCCTGCTGACAAGGAGGTCAGCATCCTCCCCACCCACATCCCTGGCTGCAAGGAGAGAATTCAGCAGACTAGGATTCATAAGGTTTCTTTGTAACAGTTTGTCTCTCTTTCCCATTAGAGAAGGAAAAAAACATTAAGTATAGAGAGGAGGTTATTTAACATCTCCGCCCTTCTGAAACAGCCAAGATTGTTTCCTACCAACAGCAAGCTCAGTGCAGGGGGTCCTGTCCACTTACAGGCAGCTCTACTGCAAAGTGGCCCTTTGTATGTTACGTCAAGTGTGCCTCCCTTTAACTCTGCCCGAGTTTACACGCCCTTTGAGGTGACACAGAACAGATCTAATACCTAATGAAAGGCAACACTCTAAATAGTGAGGACATATCTCACTAGGAGTCTCAAAATTCAAGTCAAGCATTCCTAGTTCCTTCAGGTGTCCTTCGTGAAACTGCCCTCTGACTCTCCTGGCTTCTGCCTTCTAGTTACGCCGCAATTTGTCTAATGTCCCCTTACTGTCCCCTGATCACTGTAGGGAGAAGCAGGACCTCCTTCACTCCTAACACACCTGTCTCGTCTTTGCAGTAGCCACCATGTACTGCTTCTTCCTCTTGAGATTACTGCTAATGAACTCCCCTAGGTCTTTTCAAATGTCCTGTTGCACATTTGTGAAGGAAATGTGAGAAGTTATAACATGTATTTACTTTTACTTTAATACTATATCCAGAATAATCTGCTCATGTAGTATAACAAGGTCTGATATCAACCTTTTTCCCTTAAAAGAAAAAAACAAAACAAAACCACTCATCCAAACAAAAAAAAGTCTCTCACCATGCATTCAGGTTGTCTAAACCAAACACCACTACACAGGATGAAGCTAACTTACCTGCTCTTTGATGCTGTCACCAGTGAACATGTACTTCATGTGGTACAGGAAGTCACAGATGGGGTCCATGTAATTTAAGTGGGTGCTACACTGGTCTACATTCAGCAACATGTCGTAAAATGCCACACCGATCTATTTAACAAATAATATAAAATTATTTAAATTAGAAAATGGTTCCATAATCCAGCGCGACGTGACTGGACCCCATCCCAGGAGCAGCACAGAGGGACAACGCACTTGTGGAAGACTGTCCCCGAGCACGCAAACCTCTGTGTGCGTGGAAGTCGGAGCCGGACCCACACCACCACAGAACCCACGGTGCTGCCAGGTGCCCCGACAGGGCTTCAGGGAGACTTCTCTCTAAGGCTTAGTAATTTCTCTTAAGAGGTAGATGATCCCCTTTCAGGAAACCA